CCCAAATATTAGCATGACTTTAATAAATAACACCAAAAAAATTCAGGGGAGAGATTCCTTGTGATATTTTAGGAAATAAAAGTTCATATAAACATATCATATACGTATTAATAATCAATACGGATAATCTCTATCTTTTTCCATAGCGAAACATGAAGCCGATTTTTGAAGACAAATGACTATCCATAAGGAAAAGTTTTGAAACGATCAGACACATACTGCTTTGATTGAAAGGCTAGTAAACGTCATTGTCCACCGAAACGCATGTCTTTGATGACTACTATAATAGCGCATGGCGCATGCGTATCATGCCACCAAATCCTAATGGATATTCATTTGTTTCATATTTTTGGCTTCATCCTGGCACCCGTTATGATCCGTATTGTTTATTAATAGGTATATGATAAACATGTGTCCTAACTTGCTTCGTTTTCGAGATACAGGGTATTAATATTTCCATGAAAAAAACCTTTCTTCTATTCATTTCTCAATTGTCTTATCATCACTTTCAATAAAACGTTGTGGTTTTGTTAATAGTAATATGGAGCTTCTTCTAGTGCAATTGGATTCGAAATAACATTTCCAGTGGCGTCACAGAGTGTGTAAATTTATCTATATTCATGGTGAATGTCATTGTACATCACCGGTTTTTCTGAGTTCCATATTTTTATTAGATTGAACTATTGAAATAACAACATTTTTATCATCTGTGTGATTTTTGTATCTAGCTTAGTTCTTGTGGAAACTATAAAAATTCGATTTGACTTCAGTTAGGACACATGCTAATTATGAACTTTATCTGTTAGAATATCACAAGGAAACACCCCTTGAATTTTTTCGGTGTTATTTAGATACACCCTGTATAGCCGTCCACTGTTAATAGCATTCGATCCTGGAGTGTGGAAGAGTTGGTGAACTTTTCCCATAGAAATATTTGCTGATTCATGTATGACTAACGACGGCAATATTTATCGAACAAAAGGTCAGGTAAATGTCAACCGAAACGCGAACTTCCATTGTAAAGGGAAAGTAATAAGTAATACCTACCTAATGAACTCCCGCTATTCATTATTATATATGAATGGGGAGCCTATTAGTGTATATCAGGGTGGCAACAAATGAGACAGGCGAGCAACATTTAGAATGCAAACATCAAGGGAGTCAATCAAAGAGGTATTAGCTTTGTCACGAATATGAGTGAAATAATAATAAGTGAGCAACAAAATCGACTGCTTTGGAAATCAGTGTTCCTTCATGTTATTTATCAGCGCATGAATGTTGATGAACGTTTATTCAATGATGAATGGATGAAAAACATCAAAATGGCATGAAAAATCGAGTGTTCACTCATCAAAGTAGATACCTAAGCCTTTCAATTGGTTATAGTTTCAGAAATAACACAGTGATGATGATGAACAATTGGAATTTGTTTTTTAGGAATAAATAATTCAAATACGGCTGAATCTTTTCAAAACCTTCAATTTCTGACAATATACAGTAAGTTTGATCATTTCATCCGATGAAGCGCCACATATCAGAGGATTGCGGTACGTCACTGATGATAAAGTATTTTGAGTGTTTCGAATTCCCTTTTCATTTATGAACAATGAATGGATTTCGAGATATTTGACGCTCGCATAGGTTTTTTTTTAATTTCAATATTGAGGATGTTATTGAAAATTTTGAAAAATTCCTGTGCAAGAAAACGGTTGTTCGAAATATACCTATAGTAAAAGGTTATGTGTTTTTTCAATAAAATTTCGACAAATTAAAAACAATCCAAATTTCATTAGTGAAGACAGTGGAAAACATGACAGGAATTCCGATCCGATAGATGGTAATTAGATAGATAAGTCACCTGTCAGTATTTTTGTGCCGCCATTGGTCCTATTGCCATTTATGCTTCGGTTGTGCAGTTTATATTTTTTATTTTCTCGTGCAATGATACGGGATCAATTTCAGTAATGCATCATCAAATATAGTTAGCGAAGGAATGTTATATAATATCTTTTGATTGAATTAACTTTATGTGGTGACAAATATTCATTGAACTCAGAGTGGTGGTAGTGAAATACGTTGATTAGTGAAATTCGAAGTGAAATTGCTTTAATATAATGTGAACTTGTTGTTATCGGACTCCACAGATGCTGGGTAGACAGATAGATGTGAAAATATAGTCACATAGAAATATATAGTATAGAAGAAGTTACTAGAATCATATGTTTGTCTTCTTTCGAATCATAGTAGTTATTGAATCATTATGAGCTCATTTCAGGAAGAATACAAGGCAACATGTCGAAGTTGCATAATACAGAGTCCTTCTTTGGAACTTCATCGATTATGTGCTCTGTATTTCTCCAGAAATGATACTCAGTCAATACCCAATTACATTTTGAAATTGCCGCCACGTCTATTAATGGTCGAATTATTTCGGTTTCCAAAACGCATGGGGGCGCTGATGGCGTTGTTCTGGACGTCACAATGGGATATTCCATTCTATTCATGGGTGGTTTTCTATGGTCTCATTGACTCTTCAGTTTATACAGGGTGTTTCTAGAAAAACCTAACCCCCTTGCTAGGGTAGGTAGAGCATTGCAAAATAAGTTGATTTTGCTTTGTAAACACATGTCGTAACGCCATCCGTTTTCAAGATACGAGGTGTTGAAAAAATATTTTTTTACACATTTTTTACAATCATGTTGAAGCTACTGGCAACATTGTAATGTGTTTTGAAAGGTGACTCATCGCATGAATTTGTTTTTATATCTGACACTCATAGAGGGCGCTAGTTACACCATTCGTACTGAGTACTTTTAAACATAAGTGGTTAGATTTTTCAGTCCAAATTTAATGAGAACTTAAACATCATTCAATTTTACACTGAAAAGCTCTTGGTAAAAGTTGATACTGTGTACCGTTTTCGGGATATTTCGATTTGAAAATGCTGAAGTGTAACACTGACGCTAGTTGGAAGTATTTATATCCATTAATAATCTCATAGCTGATTCTCAACCGTTGAGAAGATTGATGCATTCTGTAGCAAGAAGGATCGAATTGTGTATTCGTGAAAATGGAGAACATTATGGGCACTTACTCTAACTAGATGATCTTTTAGTCAAATTTAATCAATTAGCTTCTGATGTGATTTTGCTTAATCGATAACTTCAGTACTAAAATAATGTAAATGTTTTTGGTCCTTCATAAATAGATGATTGTTTTTTATCAAACTCATTCTAATAACAGAACCAGAGTTATTGCTTCAGCATTTTCAAATCGAAATAATTCGAAAACGGTACACAGTATCAAGTTTTGACAAGAGCATAATTTTGGTGTAAAACTGAATGGTGTTCAAGTACACATTGAATTTGGACTAAAAAATCTAACCTCAAAGTTATCGTGTGTGTTCAATAGATATAATTCAATGTTTGTCGTGGCATATAGCCAGGAAAGTAGTTGTTTTCTATTGAATTAACTGAAAAAGAGTGAAAAATATTCTCATCACATAGAGAATGCGAATTCTCAATGTATTGTTTTATATAAATATATATCCATTTTTGTATGTTCATAATTTATCTGAGAATATTCCTTTTCAACACTTTCATACCCAATCAGGGGGTTCAAACTTGAACGATGGAAACTTGTGATTTTTATAGACCTCTAATCGCAGATTCGTGATAGAGTCTCAATTCAGAATTCATTTCCACGCCCTGTATGATGAATGTCAATTTATCATACACCCAAAAGCAAAAACGTCCAAATGACAGGAATAGAATGTCAACAAATTTCTCAGATGTCATTCAGTTATATTTTTACTCGATTTTAGTTGTATTATATAGAGATGAAAATTGTGTATATCATGAAGAATGGCTGTAAGAATAAGTGGACATCATGGTTACTGATGAGGATTCAGAGATCCGAAATGGGTTCATTGCAATAAAGTCATATAACCTGTGTGTGAGAGATAATATTTCCCATATCACTGATATGAATGATTATTTTTGGACGTTTTCAAGCTCATCAAGATCAGAGTTCATGCCAGTATACTTCTCCTATACATTCCAATTTTCATTTCAATGCTGAATATATTGGTAAGTCATATTTCTAGATCATTATTCATCATATTATTCATCCGATTTGAAGAAGAATGTCAATTCTCAATTTCGGAGGATTTTATTCTTTATTTTTCATGTTCCCTTTTGAATGTTCATCAGATATAATTCAATGTTCGACGTGGCAAATAGCCAGGAAAGTAGTTGTTTTCTGTTGAATATTCAGAATGATGTGTGTATATACATATTTTTGTCTGAAGGAGAATGCAAATTCTCAATTTCAGAAATTTTTATATTCTATTTTCAAACTCTTATCGTGTGTGTTCAATAGATATAATTCAATGTTCGTCGTGGCATATAGCCAGGAAAGTAGTTGTTTTCTATTGAATTAACTGAAAAAGAGTAAAAAATATTCTCATCACATAGAGAATGCGAATTCTCAATGTATTGTTTTATATAAATATATATCCATTTTTGTATGTTCATAATTTATCTGAGAATATTCCTTTTCAACACTCAAAGTTATGTTCAAAAGTACTCGGTACGAATAGTGTAACTAGCGCCCTCTATGAATGTCAGGTATAAAAACAAATTAATGCGGTGTGTCAGCTTTCAGAACACATCCGTACAGAATTTCATCACAATGTTGCCAATAGTTTCGACATAATCGTGAAAAACATATTTTTTCAACACCTTATATCTTGAAAACGGTACGACATTTTTTCACTGAGCAAACCCAACTTATTTTGCAATGTTCTACCTACCCTAGCAAGGGGGTTAGGATTTTTTTGAAACACCCAGTAGAGTTTGTCGACCCCTGGTCTATAGGTAAATAAGAAGGTGAACCCATTATTGGCCTATCTTCGACTCAGCTCAAATCACTGACACTACCACCAATCGATATCAACAATTACCCAAAAACGACATCTAAAATCTCCGACCCAAACTCACCGGCTATCACGGGCACGTCGAAGTCGAACTGCTGCCCGACGCTGCACGCCGAATTCACCTGCCTGGTCTTGATCAGGGGCGGGTTCTTGCTCTGCGACACGGCCAGCCCGCGGCGCAGGTTGCCCCTTGTGGGCGAGGGCGGCGGGTACGAGATGCCCCTGTGCGTCGGGCTGAGCATCAGGGCGGCTGGGTTCTTGCCCGTCGGCACCGAGAGCAGCGCGTGCTGGTTGAGGTTGAGGCTGAGGCCGGAGACGTTGGGCGAGCCAAGGCTCAGGTTCGGAAGGCTCTGGCCCAGGCTGCCGTACGGCTAAAGAAATAGACATATATATAGAGCTCATTCACTTCGTTATTCCATGTTTTGCATTAACCCTAATAACACACGTTATCCAGAGGACATCCATTTCCAGTATATACTGAACAGGAATTATGGAGACGGATTCAGAATGCAATAAATATTTTCAAAAATAATGCAGAAATGATGCAAAATATCCATTTCAGTTTTTGTGCCAGTGCATTGGACCACTTCTTTTCCAATTTGTTATCATCCTAAGTAGGTACTATCTATTTTTAATTATATCATATATACTTTAGGTTTCACCCATGAACTATGTTTGAAATAATAATGCTCTAATACTGTATATATAGTCATCGATATTCTTGAGTGGCTCATCAATATTGATTGACTCCGTGGTATCAAGTAAACGATCCTATACATTTTGAGATCATTACAAACCCTCGGTCCACAAGATCTCCAAAGATATATATAGTTTGTCGCTCAATTTCATGAAACCTGAAGAAACATTTTTTTTCTAGAAAGATATGAAACTTTAATGCTCACTGCTCAAAGAATTTCATCTTGACTTCTTTCAGAAAATTAAAATGCGACGATGAAGGTTTTTGATATGTTTTCTATGTCTTCGCACCACACAGTCGTACCGAACAACGATGGACGATATAGACTGAGGGTCTAAAACAGATTTATTTGGTAACGAGGTGAATTCCTTTCCCTCCAAATGATATCATGCAAAATATCAAGAAAGTTAATAAGTTGAAGATTTGGGTTGTGAAATTGTGAGCGAAGAATGTAGTAGTAGTTCTAATGCGAGATTCGCAGGAATTGCACTTGAATCTAGTACCTAGTTATTTATCAATAACGACTTCTCATATGCTGTCATGGTCATGGGCTACCAGATTTCAATCGGAATCGAAAAAACGTGCTTTCATAGTGACAGTGGGTTTATATTTCAGTTTCACAGAAATAAAATGATTGAACTGTATTGCTAGTGGTAAGAAAAATGCAATGTACCCCTGTACCATGTAGTCAAGAGTAGCCTCAGGATATAATATGCTGGTCCCTGGGAAATACTGATATTATTCCTTACTATACCTTGGTATATAAAATCTATGTTTCGCAATGTCAAACTATAATGAGAACAGAATTCTCGAAGAAGTGTCAAAAACTATAAGAGAATATGATTTTCGAAGATATTTTGCGTTGAGAACGGGAGCAGATTCGTTCTCGAAACGTCCAAAGATAAGTAAAAAATTGACGTTTTATCAATATAACTATATTTCTTCTCTTCAAACTCTTTTCCCAACAAAGTGTCACTGACAAGCTATTGGATTTTTCTTTTAGGCTCCCTGATAGGAAAATCTGTTAAACGCATCAGTAACATTTTGAAGCAAATTATCAGATTTGTCCTACTTCACATATATCGAACTAATGCTCATATTTTCATTTAGTAGAAACTGGGAGAGAAAATTCCAAATAATCAAGTAGAATGAATTATCAAATGAACTGAATAAAACAAATCGAATATGAGATTCATTCTTACCTGTACCGATAATGTGTTCGGTGTTTTATTGAACAGCCGGTTTTTGAAAGAATTCTTCTGGGACACCGGACTTTTGTCCGGAGGAAGCGGTTGGACACCCTCGTCGCTTGACAATGAGCCGGTCCTGTTCTCGTTTTCGACAGAGACGGCTCTAGACGCATTGTTCACCGAGCCGACTGAAGACTGGTCGTTCATTTCGACAGAACCGCTGGAAAATAACACTATTTTATAGAAAAATGCGCACAGGTACGTCATAAACTACGTAGTCCAACAGTTGGAAAGCACACGTCTGTATAAGTGATTCGTGTGCCTATATTGGCCGCGAAAAACCTTTTTCGCGTTCCATAAGAAAAGTTATCGTCGAGGCCGTTTCCGGACGAACACACTATCCCAGTTAACACAAACATCTATGAGATGTCGCATTCATGGCAGTTGATGTCACAAAAGCGAATCACAATATTGCATCGCTGATATCTACAAGGAATTCCTTGTGTGACAGATAGTTCGCAAATTTCATCACATTCTGTTGGATCTGAGACCAATATGGATATAATATTTATGAGGCCCCTTCACTTCACAACGACTATAATTTCAGAATCTGAAATTTCAGTCGTTGAGAGTCATAATTTGATGTATCTGAATTGACAAACTGATTCACATTGTGCAGAATGAAGAAACGAAAATATGCTTCAATATGTGAATCTCTCTCACATCTCAAGGAAATTCATTTATGAAAGTAATATCGAACAATACTTGGAAATATCAGTGTACTCGCATACTCATGAATGTAGCGCACAATGTGACTTATGTAAAGTTTCGTACACACTCGGTCAGTGTCGGTCTGACTGATGTACACGTGTCTGTGAATTCTTTAGCGACGGCATGCTTTTGTCTCGTCCATTTCGTTGTTTCAGTGCATTAGTTCATTCGGTGTTGGTATGCTGTTCGTGTTTGGCGTTATTGCTTAGACCACTGAATAAGCATCTCTTTCTAATCGAAAATCATGATTGTGATTAAAGATACTGTGTGTTTCTCATCTAAGTTACAGGGTAAGTAACTACAACGTTCATAACTTGATACAATAATATACCTATATACTGGTTGACAATGAAGACAGGGTAGACGACACCACGTCGCCATTTCTAGACTATATGATGATACTTACAATGATACCTTGGAATATATCATTTTGGGATCAGGGTATAAGTGAACATGCATATTCTGATTGTATATTGGGAAAGTCTGATTAAGAACAAAATTATTGCAAAATATTATGAATGGAAGGAAAAAATGCGCCGCAGCTATTCTCTATCTTCTTTGTCACCCGGTATAGAACAGTAGGTATGCAGTGTGATTTCATCTTCTCATAAATAATTTCAATCTTACACGACTCCACGTAGATATGAAAGTGACTTGAACATTTTTCAATACTCTCATTATGGTTCTCTACTCACTCTCTATAAGATATTCTGAACAGGAAATGGGCAAAATGAAATCAATTGATTGTTTCTATATCCATTTTCAGATGTAAAATCACAAAAGTCATCTGGACAACCTTGGAACAATTTGAAATTCTGAGCAGGGATTGGTTACCATGCTACAACGGAAGGAGAGATGAGGAGCAAATATTGGATTCTCTTGTGTTACTTTCAGTTCTCCATATTCATCGCGTTAACTCATGGAGATATATACCCTGTATAATTATTCGAAAAAGTATAGGCCTGCGCTGTTTTTCTAATTTCAATCATTGTTATATCTAGGTAGTTTTGCTCAACATAACATGTACGTACTTACCTATTCTGATGTGTAATGAGACTAATTTTCAATAAAATCGAGTTGCCTTGTGAAACCCTTGATTGATCTATTTGACAGAGATTCGAGACCGATTAGTTCTCTCATTGAATACCTTCATCAATCTAGATGTGATTTCACTTGAGACATCAAAAATCAATGTGTATGTAGCATTTCTGAGACGCACAATATGATTCTTCCAGGGACGCTACGATACCAGTATAATAATCGAAAAGAACCTCACATTCAGAAATGGTCGATGGTCTTCTAAACCTCACATTCTGATTATAATGTGACATCAATGTGAGTCTTATTTCAACGTGATATCTGGAGTCACATTCAGCTAACTTTTGAGTCCCATTCGGCATCTAAATGTGAAGCGAAAAATGACCAAAAGGGTCCGGAATAGAGGATCTGGAGATGTCGACGTCATTCACAAATCGAATCGCGGGTGTGATCTCAATCATGAATGTGAAGTGTACTGACATCTCTGAGATCAATTTGTGTTAACTGGGATGTTTCGTGCAATCGTCAAAATAATTGAACTAGATAACTACAAATAAATACATTATTACTTTCAAATCAACAGCAGTTCAATTTATTCAACAAAGTCACAGAGTATACAAAATATTTTGACAGTTCATGATCTGACACTCAATAGCCTTGTGTTTCCACCATATCGATAAACTATTATTGAACGTTCAAGAACATTACACTGACGCAGTCATTGATACTACTCATGCTTATAACTTCGCCGAAAGCGAATGCTTGAGTTTGGTGTTTGGTTGATAAACGAGAGTGCCAGGGAAATTCGATTTATTTCTAAATGTTTTTTTTTTTAACAAAAATTTACTTCTGTTGCGCCTCATTCTCTTGTCTATAGAAGGCACATCCATTCTATTTATCCCTCCGATTCCCGATGTTCTCTGTATATTTTTATATTGTTTCAAAATTGAAGAAATGTATAACCATTGAAAACTGTTGATTTGCCATTAAGGAAATATATTATAGTGGAATTTATTGCAGTGTCATACTGGTCATACCTAGAGTCGCTGGATGGTATTAGTTAGATATACAGGGTGTTTCACAGGTAAAGGGAAATATTTCAATGGTGGATAGGGGTCACCAAGGTGATTCTGAAAATACCATATTTGATAGGTCTTAGAGCTGTCATAACGGAGATACAGGGCGATTTATCGATTTCGAATAATTATTCATTCGTCTATAAGTATTGAAATACCCAGTATATTTTTCTAAAATTTGGTATGGAGCTTAAACTTGGGACGTTGAATTCATTCACCTATCGGGCGAAGTGAAAATCCAGGTTCGGCTTCAGGAAAAATTTACATTTATTCGAAATATTAAAATAACACACTGTATGTAATAATTGACAAAGTTCATCAGAGGAATCGTGAAGAGGAGGAAAAACTGAACTCGATTTGATGCTTTTTGTTTTCCCGCCACCAATTCTCATCGTAACAATCATAAACAGGAAGCTAAAAGTATGTCAATTTCAAGAGTATTAAAATTATGAAACCACTTTCAATTATGATTATTTGATATTATATTCTTGTTGAATGATCGTTCGGAAGAACTGACTTAGTCTCACAGTCTTTATAACAGAGATAAAAGGTGAATTATCACTTGTCCATAAGTATTAAACTACCCATCGCAGTAATATTTTCTCAAATTTGGTAGTGAGCTTACTTGGGACGATGGATTCATTGACCTATCAGGCAGAATGGAAATACAGGTTCAGCTTCAGGAAAAGTCGCATAGTCTTTATAACAGAGATACAGGGTGAATTATCGAATTATAATTCAGCCTGATAGGTTAATAAATCCATTGTCCCAAGTAAGCTACATACCATACTTGAGAAAATGAATGAGTGAATAATTATTCAAAACCGATAATTCACCCTGTATCTCCGTTATAAAAACTGTGAGACTTAGTAAGTTCTTTCGAGCGATTTTTTTACTGAAATATATCGAATAATCATAATTGACACTGGTTTCATAATTTCAATACTCTTCAAATTGACATACTTTCAGCTTTCTGTTTATGATTGGTACGAAGAGAATTGGTGGCGGGAAAACAAAAAGCATCAAATCGAGTTCAGTTTTTCCTCCTCTTCACGATTCCTTTGATGAACTCTGTCAATTATTACATACAGTGTGTTATTTTAATATTTCGAATAAATGTGAATTTTTCCTGAAGCCGAACCTGGATTTTCTTTCCGCCCGATAGGTGAATGAATTCAACGTCCCAAGTTTGAGCTCCATACCAAATTTCAAAAAAATAAACTTTGTAGTTCAATACTTATAAACGAATGGATAATTATTCGAAATCGATAAATCGCCCTGTATCTCCGTTATGAAAACTCTAAGACCTATCAAATATTGTATTTTCAGAACCACCTTGGTGACCCCCATCTACCATTGAAATATTTCCCTTTACCTGTGAAACACCCTGTATAAGAGTTCGAACACAGAAATGACAACTGTTGTTAGTGTATTTGAATGTTTATAGATGCATCAAGTTACATACCTTGCATTGTGACAAGAGCTCAAGAACACCATAGTCGTCCCGCGCTTTTCCATTCAAAATTTGACAATACATTTTATAAACGTCAGAATTGAAATATGATTTCATGAACTATTGAGAAGAAACTATCAATGAAAATTTTCTGATGTGTGATGAATTGTGGAAATTCTGAAGAAGAAAAAGAAGATAATGCATTTAAATAATTTAATTTCCCAAAGGAAATATTGATAAGCGTATCAACCGTTCTTTTATGGAAGGAATGTAAATGAAACGGCCTGGATGGAAAATTGATTTGAAGACAAGAAACATTTGCGAGGAACATACATTGAAATTCACTTCTGATAACAGATCAGATAAGAATGAAACTATATTTCAGGCCCATTTTCGAACAGAAGATTTTGAGATCCGTTTGAGAGAATCTGCTATGATCCATCCATTTACAAAACAGACTATTTAAAAAAAAATCTATTATTATCATCAAACGAAATGCAAAACAAAATACTCATGGAGAGAAATTTATTGCAAAACTACGTAATTGAATTGAACATTTGTGAACGAAACTGAATGGCGTTTTCAATATCGATCGAGCTAGTTATATCCATATGTGTCTATTTTGTCATATTGAAATGTTGTGCCGTATCGCTATTAATTGAAGTGGATGTTTTTCATCTACGACTATAATTGACAGAAAATCTAACCTCTAAAATCGTATTTGACAATAAGGCACTATTAGGGAAATTGAAAAGACAAAGTGCAAAGTATATATGTCTTGTTCTTTTATTCACCCAAACCATCAGTGTAATATAGAAAATAAAAAAGGACAGAAGTTTTGCTGTGTCCGAACTCCTTTCTTAGTCACTTATAGAATATCTTTTCATTACTACAAATACTAGTACTCAATTTTTATCATATCGTTCATGTTCTAAAAATGGGTGAAACCTCTGATTATCAACCAAAAAAAGTCTTATAAATGCATTGTATCTCACCTATGACTATGTGCGAGACTGGAAACCCTGCTGGCTCTAGAGGAAGTGGCGAGAGGAGATCTAGGTACCAACTGCAGACTCGTGTAGTCGCTATCCAAATTGTAATCGAAACTGTAGTCCGTGTCTACACTTTCGTCGGCAATGTAACTCATTTGTCTCGCTTGTGCATATAAAGCTTGTGCTTTCGCTATGCCATCCTTCCAACCCTGAGAACAAGATTGATATAGGTTTTTAATTGTTTCGATGTGTGAAGTCTCTGAAAACTTTGTTGATCCCCATTTCACATCTTGGGCCAAATGATTGAGAATCACACACGTATCTGAATGGGTATGATAGGAAAATGACCAAATACGAGGAATATTATAATTTTATTATACAAGGAAAGTATAATACAACGTCACCAATTGTCATTCAAAACTGAAAAGCTTCAAGACATATACGACTTCGCTATTGAAATAATCTCTTCTCATGTTGAAAACGGTAGCAGAATCGGTCCCGAAACGTCCAAAGATAAGTGAAAATTTGATATTTTTTTTATATACCTTTATTTGTCTTCTCCAAACTTTTTTCAATACAAATTGTCACTGACAAGCTAGTGAATTTTTCTTATAGGCTCTCTGATAGGAAAATTCTTCAAACGCAGTGACATTTTGGGGCAAATCATCTGATTTGTCCTTACTACACGTATATTGAAATAATATTCATATTTTCATTTTATAGAAACGAGGAGAGAAAATCCCAAAAAATTTGGAAAAATAACTAGGTATATTTTTATGAAATTTTTCAGTCAGCTGTGAGGAAACATCAGTAACCGAATGTCTTTACCATGAAGGAATGATCATTTCAGAAGTCTACACGTTACTGAAGTTTCTACTAAGAATTAGTGTAATGTGCAAATATGGTTTTATAACAATTCATGATGCACACAGCATATAAAGCTTGTATTTTCGCTATGCCATCCTTCCAACCCTGAAAACAAGATTCATAGGTTTTTTTCGTCTTAACGTGTAACGTCTCTGAAAAATTCCTTGCACCCCATTTCCTTCGAGCAATTTTTCACACTCACTGTAATCCCCGCGCGATATGTTGCGGTTAAGGGATGATTTTTTATTTCGTACTAAGACGAGGCATTGGAAGCAATTTTTCAATTGAATTGTCCCTGACATAATGACCAGCGGTTACAGATACTGTTCAACTACGAATCTTCAAATTTTTCCTTATTGTTCTTGTACATGGTTCGATAAAGTAAACTACCCAATTTCGACAGCTTATCAGGAAATTTATAGTTCAAGTTGAATAGCAAAAAGTACCGATACATTTGTCCCGTTTTTTTTATGTTATGAAATATCGTGAATCTCAATAACTATCCACAATATGTACAGAGTTCTGAGGAATAAACGGTTTGTGTCACTAAACTAGTCAGGAGTAGTACTTCGAAATAATGAAATGTTTCACTGAAACAGGCCCATTGAATCAAATTTGAATTTTTATTGAAAATTTATGATTTCGAACGATTAGTGGATGCATGCAAATTGGTTTTTGTTGAAATTTGATGAAAATTATACCGCGGAAAGAATTTGCATACACTGGTACACTGCCCTGGTGTAGAAAGTGCCGAAATTATTAACTGAACATGTAATAAAAATGGGGCTATTATCAAACAAATGTTTAACGTATATACAGTGTCTTTCAAAAGTATCGGAACGGTCTCATATTTCAGGAACGGCTTGAGAAAAATTCACGAAATTTTCTACAGGGTGATAATTGATGATGTCCGATTCAATGGTGGCATCGGCAATGTTGCCAAGTTTACAGTTTTTCAGATATTAGGAGTAACTTTATTTTTTCAAATGGAATACCCCATTTATTTTTATTGCAATTAATTAAGCGCCTCCTAATTACTTGAGTCCCTTAATAACAGATTCGTAATTAACGTGATTTTCGAAATATGACAACAGCCCATTTTCGTTCAAAAGTCTGGGAACCTTCTAATATTTTCAATACGGTTCAAGGAAAATTCATGAAATTTTATACAAGATGGTTTCTGATGATGCCCGATTCAATGGTGATATCGGCAATGTTGCCAAATCAACAGTTTTTCAGATATTGAGGGTAACTCAATTTTTTCAAATGGAATACGTACCCTATTTGTTTTCTTTGCAATACATTCAGCGACGCCTCATATTACTTATGTCTTCAAATATCAAATTTTAAATGAGTGTGGTTTTTTAAATATGAGAACTTGCTCCGTTGAAATGTCTGCAAAAGGTCCAATATTTTCATAAGGGCTCGAGAAAATATCATGAAATGTTATACAAAATGGTTTTTGATAAAACAACTTTTTAATAATTGAATTCTTTTCCAATAGAATATTGAATCAATAACCGTATTGGAAATATTAGAAGGTTCCCAGACTTTTGAACGAAAATGCCATGTTGTCATATTTCGAAAACCACTTCAATTTAAAATCTGATATTTGGAGACATAAGTGATGAGGCGTCGCTGAATGTATTGCAATGAAAACAAATAGGGTATTCCATTTGAAAAAAATGAGTTACCCTAAATATCTGAAAAACTGTTGATTTGGCAACATTGCCGATATCACCATAGAATCGGGCATCATCAACAACCATCCTGTCGAAGTTTTCATAAATTTTCTCTGAGCCGTTTCTGAAATATGGGACCGTTCCAGAACTTTTTAACGAAAATGCTATGTTGTCATATTTCGAAAATCACGTTAATTACGAATCTGATATTCAGGGACTCAAGTAATTAGGAGGCGCTTAATTAATTGCAATAAAAATAAATGGGGTATTCCATTTGAAAAAATGAAGTTACTCCTAATATCTGAAAAACTGTAAACTTGGCAACATTGCCGATGCCACCATTGAATCGGACATCATCAATAATCACCCTGTAGGAAATTTCGTGAATTTTTCTCAAGCCGTTCCTGAAATATGAGACCGTTCCGATACTTTTGAAAGACACTGTATGCATTTTCGCAGGCATATTTTCGGTGTTACTTATTTGTATCACGATAAACTACTTTGCATACAATCATGGCGTGCACATGCACTGTGTAGTCATTAAACCTGCACTAATTTTTGGGATTGACGATTAGGTTGTGACAAAATAACCATTCAGTATCATCTATTGGGTTTGATATTCATGCGGTATAATTACTTTTCATGTTGCTAAGAAACTATAAAGTTTGTTAGCAAGACAAGTTGAACTGAAAGCCATTTGGGTTTTCAACTGTGAGATTGAATTATATTCGGTACCAACAGTCACCTGGTTTTAGGTATGTACTATTATTGTATACAATCATGAATGTTACATAGAGTATATCTGAATATGCGAATATGTTTATGATATTAACACTTCATTTAATTTTAGTTCTGTTGCTTGTCAAACCTGTCAGACTGTTGTAATAAAATCCATATCTGAGTTTGCTGAGAACCTATTAACCCTAAGCCATAAAAGATTACAAAGTACCTAGAAATATCAAAGAACTGCAAAGCTTTTTAGGACTTGCTAATTTTGATAGGTCTTTCTGTAAAGACTTTTCAGCTTTGACTGTTCCTTTGTCTAGTCTTCTGAAGAAAAAAACACCCTGGAGATGGACCGACGTAGAACAAAATGCTTTTGATTCCATAAAGAGAAAAATTGTAGAAAGTACGCTTCTCTATCATCCAGTTGATAATGTACCTTATTCTTTAGAGACAGATGCCAGTGATAGAGCTCTTGGATGTCATCTTTTTCAAGTGATAGATGGTGAGCGTAAATCGATTGCTTGGGCTTCAAGGGTTCTTCTTGATCGTGAAACTAGATATTCAGTGAATGAGAAGGAAGCTTTAGGTGTTGTTTGGGCATTGTCCAAGTTCAGAATTTATTTATTGGGTAGGAAATTCACCATATTCACGGATAATAACTCTGTAACCTACTTGAAAACATGCAGATTACTTTCGGCCAGAATATCAAGATATGCGCTAGCACTGCAAGAATACGACTTCGATATCAAGTATATTCCTGGATCAAAAAATATCATAGCAGATGCTCTTTCTAGATTCTCAGCAATAAGACCTCCTACTCCATCAAATAAATCTTTCAAAGTCCTTCCCATTAAAAACTTCTCGAAAAAAATTTTAGATATCTTAAAGAAAATTTCAATTCATCAACAAGAAGACCGGAAACTTGGAGATATCATCAAAAATATTAACGAAGACCCAAAACTGCAAGAAAGATTTTTAATCCATGATAAAAAATTGTATATTAGACATTCTTGTGAAGAGTATTACTTACTTTGTATACCTAAATCATTTGCGTCTATATTCGTAGATCAATATCATCAGTTATATGGACATTTTGGAGTCTATAAAACTTGGCATGCCATTAGATCAGAATTATGGTGGAACAATATGATCAAAGATGTGAAAAAAACTGTTAGCTCTTGTGAAATATGTCAAAAAGCGAAATGTAGTATCTTACCTAAACCGGATTTAATTTCAATAATTCCTTCGTCAAAAAATGAACTAGTAGCACTGGATTTGTATGGTCCGCTTCCTATCAGCAGAGGAGGAGTTTCATATGTGTTGGTTTTGTTAGACGTATTTTCCAAATTTGTTACATTATATGCCCTGAAAAAAGCTACCACGCGTACCATTTTGAATCGTTTGATAAAAGATTATTTCCCGAAGGTAGGCAAAGTAGTTAGTATTTTGAGTGACCATGGGACACAATTTACCTCAACGAAATGGAAAGAAACTCTCGAGGCATTGGAGATCAAAGTTATACATTCATCGGTACGTAGGCCACAAGCTAACCCGTCGGAACGAGTAATGCGTGAGATAGGAAGATTATTTAGGACGTATTGTCATGATCATCAAAAACGGTGGGCGAATGAATTGCAAAACTTAGCGGATTTTATGAATTCAGTATGTCATGAATCGACAGGCTATAGTCCGCGTGAATTACAGTTAGGCATCGAGAAAAAAAGACTTCTACCTGCTGACCTACGTGGTCCATTGGTTGAAGAAAATAAGTTAAATGTAGAAACTAAAATGATTCTAGCAAAGGAAACATTGATGGGTAAAGCAGCACGAAGAAAGGCAACTTTCAGTAGTAGAAAATATAAAGAGTTCAAAGCAGGTGACATGGTATTACTTCGTGCTAACCCAATTTCGTCTGCATTGAAAGAAGAAACCAA